GTCACAGAGGTTCTGTGAAAAGACTTATGCGATTGAAAACATTTTTCTTCTTCAAGAGGTTTTATCATTTTAAAAGCACATATTCCCCCTTGAACCTTGCAAGCCTCTGCTAGGTTAAACCTGTTCTACTAAAAAATCAAGTGAAAAGATTATTCAAGAAATGAAATTATATACAAAAAGTAAACTATATACATAATTGAATAAAGAATTAAGACAACCAATAACTAGGACTCTGGATATGTCATTCCTATTTTCTCTATAAGAAAATTAAATCTTTTCTCATCTAGGGCTTTAGTAAAGAGGTCAGCCAATTGAAATTCTGATTTAACAAAGTATAACTCGACATTACCTTCTTCAACATGATGTTTAAGGAAATTGTTCCTTATGTCGATATGCTTTGTTTTAGAATGCTGAATTGGATTGGCTGATATAGCTATTGCACTCTTTGAATCACAGAGGATGGGAATTTTGTTGACAGAGTAGCCGTAGTCACATAGTTGGGTCTGCATCCACAGAGCTTGTGAACAACAACTTGCAGCAGCTACATATTCAGCCTCTGCTGTAGAAGTTGAAACACAGTTCTGCTTCTTTGACGACCAACTBACTAGTTTTCCTCCAAGAAACTGGCAGCTCCCAGAGGTGCTCTTTTTGTCAATTTGGCATCCACCATATTCTGAATCCGTGTACGCCACTAGGTCAATGTTTGAATGCAGAGGGTACCATAGTCCATGTGTTGGTGTCTTCTTTAGATAACGCAGTATCCGCTTAACCGCACTAAGATGTGACTCTTTAGGATTGGCCTGATACCTGGCACATATACATGTGGAAAACATGATGTCAGGCCTGCTAGCAATTAAATATAAGAGAGATCCTATTATTCCTCTATAGAGCTTGCACTCTACAGGTGGACCATTTAAGTCCTTATTAAGCTTCTTTCCTGGAGCCATGGGGGTCCTCATGGGAGAGGATTCGAGCATCTTGTACTTCTTCAAGAGGTCATGAACATATTTAGATTGGTTGATAAATATGCCTTCTGATGATTGCTTGACTTGTAGACCTAAGAAGAAGGTTAGCTCTCCCAGCATGCTCATTTCAAATTCATTCTGCATCAAGACCTCAAATTCTTTGCACATTAAAACGTTAGTTGCACCAAAGATAATGTC